CCTCAGCCTTGGCCGAGCCCGGAGCTGGGGAAGTGTAGGTTCCCTGTGTAATACAAAATTACTGGCTTTTTTGTGAGGCACCGACACTTATAAGGGTTCCTTCTTGGTTTTTTTTTTTTTTTTTTTTTTTTTTTTTTTTTTTTTTTTTTTTTTTTTTTTTTTTTTTTTTTTTTTTTTTTTTTTTTTTTTTTTTTTTTTTTTTTTTTTTTTTTTTTTTTTTTTTTTTTTTTTTTTTTTTTTTTTTTTTTTTTTTTTTTTTTTTTTTTTTTTTTTTTTTTTTTTTTTTTTTTTTTTTTTTTTTTCCCCAAAAGGGGAAGCGGTGAAAGGACTCGGTGGACAAAGCAAGAAAGGCCCCATCAGAGCCCCGCTCCCAGAGAGACGCTGCTGTTCTGCTGTGTCCCGCCCTGGCAGCCTCGGCCACCCCTGACACCCCCCTGCTTCCACCAGAACGACAGGGCTTGCAGCCTGGGCTTTGTTCCTCACACAGATTAACTGTGGCATGAAGGAGCTGCTGACCTTTAAAAGGGCAGAAATGGGGCAAATGTCAAGCCCCTGGGTTTTAAAGGCAATTTCCATACGAGGTGGAAGGTTGTGAACTTTACTTGAATGGGAAAGTTCAAGTTCATCCCATTGTTTTGTAGGTCACCAAAGTTCAAAAAAACCCAATGATTTTTCTTCCCAGCACGTGTAGGTGGTTCGCTGTCTTTCTTGTTCCTTCTGTGTCTTAATTCCCCAAGCTACCCCATTACTAAATTGTTTTCTGCACAGCCCTTAATTTATTGCTGTTGCAACACAAGTAGACCTATGGTCCTTGTCGTAAAATGATTGCAGTTTCGGACACATGAGCTGAAGCGTTACCATTTTCAGGATCTCCTTCTCCAGTCTCACATTCCAGTGTAAGGAATTACTCTGACTCCCAAAACCTTTCAAAACTCCCTCAGGCACAAGCCCTGCTCAGATAAAACTGCTGGATTTTAGGCTGTTACACAGAGCCAGTCTTACACATGATCAAGAAAGCTGATATATGGAACTGACTACACACATGAAGCCCATCTGTGCACCCAGAGCAGTGGGCACAGTGATACAAGAAATTACGTATTTCATACTGAGTACAAGATTTGTTTCCCTCCTAGGTTATATGAACATTGGGCAGCCTTGTCTTCTCCAAGTAAGCATTATCTTAAAATCATTTGCTTTGCTATAGCATTACCAATATTTTCTTTGATAAATTTGAGACTTCTATCAGACTACTTTTTTTTTTTTTTCTCCCTTATGTTCCTCATCCAGGAAAGATGACAGATCATCTAACCATGCCACCCTTAAAAAGCAGCTGATGTGCTTATCACATCCAGTCTCTCAGATGAAATATAGAAACCTGTTTAAAAGAGAGATTTTTGTGTAGTCCCTAAATGTTGCAAACTGGAGGCCATTAACCCGTTGCAGGGTCTCATGGTAAATAGCGAGAGGAACTGGCACTAAGAATTTGAACTGGGATGAGCTGTGCCTGACTTGAGAGGTGTGTTTTCCTTTTGCAGCCCTGAATATACTTCAAACTGAAGGAAAGAGCATTAATAAAAAGGGTAGTGTGATGCCAAGGATATATGTATTTGCAATGTGTGTAATTTAGAAATCAGGCATAAGCCCTAGTAACAATATGAGAAGTATAAATTCCAGTTAAATAAAATCTCATTTTAATTTTGTCAAGGAAGATGACTGTACAAAACAGGAGGAACCAAATCACACGGCGCATATCTTGTGCCTGGTGATGGCAGCCAGCCGCATTCAGAGATAAATCTACGTGAAGAAAGTCTAAAGCAGTGTAATTTATCCCTTTATTCTCTATCCCTTGACATACAATTGAAAGCAACATCAACTGAGATTTTAAAAGGTTCATATGAACTTAGCGGCCGGATTCAGCACTGAAGTAGGAGAAATCTCCTACATCTGTGAAAGCAATTCCATACATCAGTGTCATTCTAAAGGTGTCTAAATGAGTAGCAAACATGGAACTAAAAGATACAAATCATCATTTAATTAAGATATAAATCATTGCTTAAATGCTTTTGAACTCACTCCTAATGCCTGGCATAGTGATTTAGTAGTCCCTTTGTTATGTCTGAATCTGACCCGTTCACTCTACTTTCACACGTTCAGAGATGAAAATACCCAAGCAGCTTTCTTTCCTCCAGTTATTTCCTTTGAAAGCAGTTCACGGGGCTTTAGCAAAGAAAGAATTTGCCAAAGTCAACAGATCATAATCGCTCCACATCAGAATAAAACTTAATAGAAGTGATTTATTAGACCAGCTCGGATTTCAGTGGAAGTTTCCCAGAAATTTAAGTGCTATGAATGATCCGGTTCCTAACCAAATAATTTAGAGGTTTCTTGAGGCAAGATGATCCTTGCAAAATACTGCAGAGGGAGCTCGAAGCCTGGGAGTGTTTCAAACCGAGCCTTTTGACTTCATGGTCTTCGCTGCAAGAGCAGAGCCAAGAGCTCGCGGGAAGATTCCTCTCTGGCGAGCCTTGGGCGAGGGGTCGGTCACCAGGCCATCGAGGCAGCGAGCACCCATTTCGAGACTGCGAACGCGAAGCTGCCCTTCGTGGGGCCTGTGCGCTGCCACGTTGCGTGAATAAACGCGGGGTGGCTGAAAGGTTGCTCGGGAGGGTTCAGGACTTGTTAAACAGCGGCTTTAAAAAGCAGTATATTAATTCACGTGCCCGAATAGTAAACGTTTTGGTAAAATGTGCATGGCTGTACCGAGCCACAGGTGACTGAGATGACTCTGCGTTGACACTTCGGAAGATGCTTTGTGTTTTCCAGCCGAGGCAATCCTCCATTTCTGGCTGGCCCTGCTTTGCTGATTTGCTGCAGGGCTGTGGAAATGTCAGACAGTTTCTGCAGGTGCTGCAACACCCCTGATGTAATCTGGTTTGTTATTAGCGCTCATTAACAAGTATACAAGTTGCCGAGTCCACCTTTGATGACTCTTCTCTCTGTTACTGTCAAGCAGCTTACTCTTGATGTGACAAATAGCTTTCTGTAAACATTAATAGCTTGCCTTCTCTCTTCAGCCAGCCTTTCTTCTCTAACAAGGGGTGTGCTTGCAGCCTGCTGTTGACGCACCAGAACTCGTTGTAATCTAGTGATTTCAGATGCTGGTTGCAGCATAGCTACTTCAGCATGGTACGTGGCGTGCTCAAATCAGGGGTGATTTTCTCATCCTTTTGTGAGGCGCCTTTCTGAGGCCCACAGCAAGGGCTGCACACACCAGTAGAGTTTCCAGTGTTAATACATGTATTTTTCTTCTTTACTTTTGTTCTGAGCTATGTACCTACTGCTTCATCCATACTTTGCTCACCTTTGATACGTTTAAAGCTTAAATCACTGCTATTACTTCAATCCTGTCGCATGAGGGCAAAGCTCTGCTCCTGAGTTTGTAAGGTGCAAAGGATGTGCTTCTGTAGGACCTCCTGTCTGGTTTCACAGAGCAGAGAGAGGTGAAAGACTCCGTGGATCTGGACTATATCTCGACAGACTTGGTGGTCTTGTTGCTTTAAAGAATACGCAGGATGAAGAGATAGCCAATACGTGTCTTCAGAGGCAGAAACTAGAATCAAATCAGGGAGAGCTTGCTGGTCTGTTGCTGTTTCTTTATGGGCTGCTTCATAGTACTTGTTAGATTGTCTGGGCTGGTGGTCAAGGGGGAAGCAGAATTGTCAAAGGGATATTTGTTTCTTTTTTTTAGCAAGTGGAAGGAACAAGGGGAATATCCATACAGTGGAGGTGGTGACAAAATTCAAGGCATTCCGTTAGTAGTAGTGATAGGAGAAATCTGTGTGCTGATGCACACCCTCCAGGTGGACTGCATGGAGCTTCCAAGAGCCCTGCAGCTAGAGAGGGGACTGCTCTTGCTTTTTCAACTGAGTAATGAGAAACGTGACGGGATGCAGTTTCAAGTTGCCTGAGTCCGTAGAAACCAGAGTATTTAGGAATGACAGCGTTTTTAAATAAAGGAGCTTTGATAACTTTTCTAACTTATCAGACAATTCAATAGCAAATAACCCAGGGCAAATTTAGAATTCTCATCCCTGACAGTTCTGAGGAACAGGTTCAACCAACTGCTTGGCATAGACTAGATATATTTAATCCTGTCTCAGCACGGAGAAATTGTTTCTCTTTTGAGATCCAGTCAGTTGTATGCTTCTTTTAACTGCCATTCTCTCTCAAGGGAATTAGGAGCATCTCAGTTTTTCTTTGTTGGCTTCAAGATAAGAGCAGTATTAAAAAATGCAAGCCTCTCCCTACTAGCCGAATTGGGCAGTAACAGGTTTTTTGTTTGCTTCCTTGCTTTTTTACTCCCATGGTGAATAAACAGATTTCCATTTAAGTTCTTAATATACTCAATGCCTCTCATCCATTGTTTGCAAAATCCTAAAATGCACGTTTCCAGCAAAGAAAAGATGGTTTCTGCATATTTTTTTGTGAATTAATTGATCCATCCATGTTTCTTTTGTCAGATATTACTTCTGTGCTGCTGTAACATCTAGTGTAGAAAGAAGTGCTCTGGTAAAGAAACTATTTGTGAAGAGACTTAGGATCCTAGGAGAAAACTGTCTGTCACAAAAGTGCCTATAAGAAATGTCAAATTATTGTGGGTTGAAAGAGAGAAAATTAGAAGCAGAGTGTGGGAAAAGTAAATAAGTACTGAAAAGAAAGTGAACTCCGTCATGAATAGGTTGTATACAGATAAAAAATCTGGCCAAGTAACAACAACAAGAAGCAGTAAGTTGTTAACAGATGCTTGAACTTCTTAATATTGAAACAGAAGAAGTGTTGATATAATTCTGTTGATACAGTACTGTTGTGCTATTGTTGACAGAAGTTGTTAGTTTAACTTTAG